CCATAGTGACCATGACAAGAACTCAAACAAAGTGGTCCATTGTTTTATATTATACTTTTTTTTTTTCTTTTTTGGTGAAGATTCGTTTTTATTTTGTTGTCTGGTCTTAAAAGCCGGTCATTAATCTGCTACCTTTGTAAACATCTTCAAAATATTTTTCTCAACAAGCACTTGTGACTTTAAACAAACATTATTAATTTCATCGAAAAGCTTTTTTTTTTCCCCTCTAAGAAGCACTTTTGAGCTTTAAAATTGCCTTCTAAAATCCAAATACACACTTGGGGTGATTCAATAGAGCTACATCCGCTCGATATTGTAGGTTCACCGTACCAAAGAAGGAGATTATGATAACAAATTGTTTGTGAACTCGAGCTTCTCTTTTCACTCTTTTTAAGATAAATTGTTTCACCCTTGTATCTTTATAAAGACGATCATGAACTTTTCATATTACCCTACAACACTAAAATTTCGCCTTAGGGACTTCCACGCTTGAACCCCCAATCTGCGGGAGCGTCCAACCTCGTCAATCTTACCACTAAGGTCCATTGTGATAAAAGAAGAAAAAGGAAACGAGAAAATTATACTATACATATCCAACATCGAATTCCGTAGCTTTATTATCGAAATCAATGACATGATTTTTTTTATTTTTTTTTTCAATTTTGAATTTCCATTCTACAACAAGGACAGTGTGCATTACTCTCTAGCCATGGCACCAAACACTTTGAATGGAATCTATGGGCACATGGCAACTGCATTAGGGTGTCTCCTGCCATAAAATGCTCCAAACACACTGCACATTCCTCTTGTTCTGTACATTTCCAGCTTAATTTTGCCCAATTAAACTTTTTCTTTAATCCAAATACTTCTGTCACTTCAATTATATTTGTAGGGCTGACCTCCAGATTTCTTGTCCTTTCTTGCCCACTCGAAACCCTACATTTGATTAAGAAATATGAAAAAAAAATTCTTTCTTGATAAAAATTAAAATTTGACCAGTTGAAAAGTTAACAAAAATATATACAGAAGTTATATCAAACGAGCACATAATAACATTTTTTGCATGCTCGACTAGGTTGGACTTGATAGTATACACCCCTTTTTTTGTATGATGAGTTCGATTCAACTACGAATGATGTCGATTGACAAATTTTATTATACATCTCTGTATCTTATTTTCGTTGAGAATTATTTGTGCCTAAAACACAATATAAGAAGGGAACATAAAATTTTGAGGGAATTTTAATTAATTATGAAACAAATCAAGAACTGAGATTATGTGCCTTTTTTAATTTAAAATGATGAAAAATCAAATCTTGGTTTCTAAATTTTTTTTCTTTTTCTTTTTTATTGTGGTTGTCTTGTTGACTAAAAAATGAAATTTTGGGTATCAAAAATTGCCTAAAAAGTTAGTTACTGTTCAGAGCAAGAAAACATAATTTACTTTTTGTACTTATAACCAAAAAAAGTTAAATGCTCAAACATATTATTACCTTTTGATTTCAGATTTCCACTGTGCTTTCAGCCTCTCATCCAACCTTTTCTTGGCTTCTCTAGCCACAGCCCCTAGCGTGTCATCACAATATGCCTGGCTTATTGGATTCCTCTGTTATTTTCAAAAGAAAAAAAACCCAGAAATTTCAGAAAAAATCCCACAAAAATAAAAATTTACATACATACATACATATAGATACAAAAGAATCCCATAAGATTATTTTTATTTTAGTACCATGGAAGAGGATGAACTGTGAAGGGTTTCATGATTGCTTGCATATAAACAAAAAGATGAACGTCTTGTCAAGTTATAACCAGATGGGGTTGGAGAATCAGAATGGAATCTTCTTCTTCTTGCCGATTCAACTCCAGGAAGCATACCAGCCATTGAGATGACTATTTATTGGGCAAAAATAAGTGATTTATGTATAGTAAGCTGTAATACTTATTACAACTTTTGAATGGATTCTGATTTTTCTCTCATGTCTGGATGATTATGGGAGGAAATCTCTTGGAAATGAAGTGATTGATAAATCTCGGAAGCTAAGCTAACGTGGAAATGGTGTCGGTAGGTAAATAATGAAAAATAATTGGAGAGACAAGACAACGGTGGGATCCCACCATTGATATGATTGTGAACGCAGCTTCCTTGCATTGTACAGTGGATATTAAAATTAAATTTTTANTATAAATATTAAAAAATTTAATTATTGTATGAAATCGTATCGATCCGATCCAATTCGGAACAGTTCCATAATTTAGTGGGTGTTTGGTGGGGATTAAAATTAGATTTTTAGTAGATTGTGATAAAAAATTTTGAAATGTGTGGTTGAAAAGTCGTGGGACCCATGAAAGATGTGGTTAATATTGATTGTTTGACTTTAATTTAGATTAAAATCTGATTTTCCAAAACAAACAGGGCATTTGTAAATTCGTCTAAGAATGTATGTAAATCATTACTACATGTAATATTTTGTAAATTATTATGTTGAAAAATTTCCGATCTAATCATATCTCATCATATTATGAATTTATAAATCATTATGTACATATAGCACAATAGTAAAACAAAATTCTTTTTTCTCTAACTCATTTTCAACCCACATTCTCATAATAAAATATTATGCACGTAAATTCAGAACTTCTTCCTACTTTTAACCACATATTCTTTAAAAAATCATTGTTCTAAAACTTACTTTTTCTGTCTGGGTTGGGGGCCACAGAAGCACGCTCGGGTACAACGTTGGCCACGTGACTAAGCAAAGTCTAACCTACATATCATGTCTAAAACATTCTAATCGTATTATTGAAATATTAGGATGATTGTATCCATGTCTTGTTAGAGAGTGTAGCACTGTTCCTAAAGAGTGTGGAGGCCGGCTAGGCTCATTTAATCATGTTGATCCATGTGACCATATTTGGTATTCCATTTGACTACCGATTTGAAATGGCGTGTCTAATTGTACTGGTTTCGATAAATTCGATCATACCTTTCTTGTATGGCTCATGCTTATGAGTGGATATTCAATGCTTATACTTGATTATGATTTTTTTTTTTAAATCTTTGATGATTATTGAGCTTATCAGATTAGGTCGACGTGTCCCATATTGTGTTACACAAGCTTTGAATAACATACTATAAAGCACGTTATATGCTTATCCAAACTTGCTACTTGTGTGGTGGGTTAGGATTTCTTGTTTTATAATTTAAAATGCAACTCATGCGTATAAGGTATACACTTTTTTTTGTATATAAATGAGCGTGACGATTATTATTATTTTTAATAATCTATACAAATTACCCTAGCACTCAATGTAATTGATTATTATATTGACATCTGTCACTTACGAAATATTATTAAAGAAAAATATTGGGAACAATATATAATTTCTTGTTTTAAAGATCACTTTTCATAAATAACAGACTTCAAAAATCTTTTTAAAAATCAGGTGTTAAATCAATTTAT